ATAAATAAATAAATAAATAAATAAATAAATAAATAAATAAATAAATAAATACAACTGAATAATCGTGAATAAGAGGCCATATAAGTCCTAAATCAATAAGTGAACCGATAAAACCACTGCGACGTCTTTCGTGATATCACTCAAGTGGGAGCATATCAACTAATCAGGCCTGACAATTAGGCATAATGATAAGACATTGACATTGAATATCAGATTTGTGAAGTTTATATCGAGAATACCCAGGTACTTAACCCACTAATGAGCCCGTTAACCAGTTCTCACTCCCAGAACAGGGAGGATGCATGATGCTTAGTGTATACGCCTTCGCTCAATGCCATGTTTGTAGATTTTGGATACCTGTAAAACAAGTGGAGTCGGTGTAATACCAGCTACTCTGATGTCTGCACTGCGCACTACTAAAGTAGTGGTTAGTCTGTGACAGCTGACGGAACGTTACCAGGAGAAAGACCAAGCGAGGAGGTTAGAAATGCATACCTTGCCTTGTTTGCACATGCGAACTCGCGAAAGCCAACCTGAATTGTGAAAAAAAAACAATACTTTTCTTATTGTCCGTCCGTATTTGACGGATGACTATTAAAGTCTATTTACTCTTTAAATATTGAAATGAACCAGGAATTCTCCAATATGGATATCAGTCTTTACATGATGAGCTTTCAGTCCAAAAATTCATTCAAAAATTCATTCACAGATAGGCTGGAAGATTCGGAAAATACACCGCCGCTACCAGCGAACTGATAAACAACATGAGAGAGTAATAAGCGCATTTGCACTGCACAGTATTTTGGTTTATTTTTTAATCCTGTAACTAAGATTGTTGGCAATCTTATCTGCTTTTAATGATAATGTTGGAAGGGCTTTTGCTCCTTTACTGTAGTGATCGGAGGTATGTGTCAACTCTTTACCTCTGTAAAACTCTCAGGGCATGTAACGGGCAATGAGGGTCTTCTCTAAAAGCTGTTGTTCGGTTGCTAATTGGTCTAAAGTAAATGTTTTATGTATGCTATAAAATAGAGTCCTTTTGTGTGTTTGATAAGCAGGATACCAGGGAACCATGCCCACTTCCATATGAAACAGAACGATTTGGATGAATAGAGTTCATACCATTAAAAAGAGTTGCAAAGCGTTCAGTATTGATATTAAACAGGATATCATCCACAGGTCACACATGGGATACAGTTTTAGGCATATCATCAATAATTTGCCTTAACCATTCCCGTGGATATCTCATCCAGCTTTGGTTTCAGTAGATCATCCAAAGCGATATTACCAGTTCGTTTGTAAGTACCACTCAACTAAAACATATTGTATGAACACAAAACAAAACGGTCTGTAAGACAATCAGCTGGGTTACATAAGTTCATATATACAATTGAAGATTTTTTACATACTAGGATGTGCGAACAGAGTCAGCGTGAGGGGAAAATGCTTGCCAGAAGCCACTGAAATGTATCCTAATAAGTCTGCTAAATTAGAAGAGTATTACGGTGAAAGTGATGTTAAAACTCGTCGAATAGAACACTATGGTATAAGCTGACCATGGTTCAAGTCTGCAGTGTGTAGAGTTCTGCATGCACAAGATAGATTTCAACGGAAAGCCCCTCTTGTAATGAATGTTGAGTATCAACTGCCTATCTCAAGCTTAAGGTACAAAACTGTGCAGCCGTAATACCTCGATGTTTGGAGTTTCTATCAAACTATTTTCTTCTGGACTGGGATTCAATTTGAAACTTTGGATTACAATCAATATTGTGTGCAATTGCACACGGCATTCTAGCTAATTCATTATGATAGCTCGCAAACTACTATCTGTTTGAAGAGATACACTGTTTTTCATATCTCTGAGCTCACCAATGGCTCGATACTGTCCAGGTGTAAGGCAGTTTTACCGGTGATTCGGGGTAGACGCCAGTCGAATTCATTCGTTTTGAACAAGCCACTGGCTCTCCGTGGTGACGGCGGAGTAATCTCCGTTTCTCCATTTTGAGAATTTCGCAGATAAAATTCCGTCTTCCTCCGTGGCGCTCTGAATTTCCAGTCGAGCTCGCGAGAACTGCCGAACAGTCCTGCTCTCAGCACCCCTTCTAATATAAGAGGTCAATATTGTGTTCTGCTGGGTTTGATTTCGGTCTTCTCGAAAGTGCTCTTCGGAAAGGTGCGACGTGCCTTCTTGCACCAGAAATTTGTTTTCTTACTGTTCTTTTCAAATAAACCACTGTTGATTCCCCCTGTGAATCAACGGTGACCAGCGGTCATTTTCCACGTTATCTGACTACTCGTAAGCAACGTGACTTACACCTGTTTATTATGATGCCATTTGTTTCGTTGCTGCTTGTTTTCCCCTTGTTTCGTCCCTACTTAAGGTGTGCTTATTTCTCAGTAACTGATGCCAACATTTTGTTGCCCCTCCGTAATTGCTTACAAGTTCGTCTCGGTTGCACCTATTTTCGAGTGTCCGCCACGACGAAAATTTGGACCGACCGGGTATCGGACGCACCATCCACTATACCAACCTGACACCCGGAAGGGTTTATTATTTTGTATTACCTATGTACCGTACCTGGCAGATAGCCCTTCGGCGAGATTTGTTTTAAACGGACGAAACCGCGCAATCTGCCTTGTCACGTGACACGAGCTGCCGCGCCGCTGCCGATCGAACGACAGTCCCTCACATCCCAAACGTACGGCTAACTCGCACTGTCAGACTGCCCCTATATAAATTCCTGCAGCGTCAGTGACTATTTTCTGCTCCTGCTGATTGCGTCATTATTGGCTAACCAGTTCCTGTCAGCCCTCAATATATCATCTGCTGCCCACGTCTATCTGCTCCTATTGACTACTGGCTACGAACTGCGTATGATCTAAATGCCGCAATCGTCCTGTGAGATCCATAGCCGCCCGGATCTTACAACCACTTCTGGTAGGAACCCAAAGGAATAGATTTCCTTAGCATTATGCACTACCGCCTTAACGCTATACTTGCAGGTAAAGAGGTAACACACAATCATGGAGTTTTCAAACCTTCTGACCCTCCTTTGGAGAACCTCGTCCTAATAGTAGAGCGATGCAATCTCCCAATGCATCAGGTTAAATGGGAAGCTCCATCCGTTGACCGAAGTTTACTCAATGCGGACGAAAAGAAACTGAAGTGTGAAGCTAGGCAATTCCTCTACGTCCATTTACTCAATGTATGTTTTGCTACGTCTCTACCTGGCAAAATAATTGCTGGAAACCGTCAGCGTCACTGTCTGCACGGATTAAAATTAAGTAAGACAGGTGCGATCATCCGTACATGTTTAAATCAGCGCTGCCGATAATTACCACCCAAAGACTTTTTCTATAGAAAGAATACTACCGACTGAAAACTTGCACAGCTGCAGAGGTGAAACGAGGCTGCCATCACCATGGGACCACGAGTTCGTGGGCGCATCCGCATGATCTCGATTTTTTATTGAGTCCTTCAATTACTCTGATCATTATCTTATTATTCTTCATTTTCAGAGGGAAATAAGTTCCGCGCTTGTTAGCTTTCCTTTGCAGCGTCATGCGTCATATGGAATAAACAAACCAAGCCGTCATTTGGAGTAGATTTTGTAAAGACAAATAACACAGTGGCCAATCAAGCATTGTCCAATTTTTACTGCGATCAAAATTCCAAAAACCGATAAGCCACTTGGTTACGGTGTAGTCAGACCTTAAGTTTTCACGCATACGGATAAATTATATTAGCATAAATTCTGCTTACTCTTGCATCGTGAATGAAATATATCCATCTTCAATTGTTTTATAAAGATGACAAAATACTCCTCCCACTGATGTATAATGGGCAATCCTAACGGCATCTTAACTCGTCATATTTCACTTGTGTAAAACGAGGATGAAAGTGAGACTCCAGCGGATTGACTAGCATGCTGAGTGACTGTCCTTCGTATGATGGCGCTGCCGAATAATGGATAGGGTTAATATCACCCAATTGCTCACAAGCTCACAGTACTTTTGAGATCAAATCCAGCGAAATCACAGCACACCAACGGCCTTCTTTACATACAATGCGGTGAGAATAAACGGTCCTTTATGAAAACCTGACTGGCACGATTAACGTCCCGAAGCCGTTTTATGGGAGTCTGGTTGGAATCAGGCGAACATCACTGGTGGAATGATAGTTTCGGCAGACTACTATCAATTTCGCTGATTAGGGTCATCAGGCATACACTACGGATTCCGCATTAACCGCACTTCTTTTTGAGAAATCGAACTGAACGTAGGTGCAGTCGAGAACCCGGCCCAAAACTAAGGTGAGGATAGTGTGAGACTAGAGTCGGGTTTCCGTCAAGAATTTAACCTGTGAGCGATTGCATACTGAAAGGCCGAGAACCATCACCAATAAATTAGGCGAGTTTCTCACGCGCTGTTCCCAATCTATGCAGTCGAACTAGCTGACCCGTCACCATTATCTGACCAATCAGCATGTTGAAATTGTGTGGACCATACTAGGCCCTATTTCCAGTCGCCGTTTACTCATCGCGCCAAATGCGACCTATCATCACCGTTGCTAATTCCTAGCTGAAAAAACTAGTTGCTGTCACTGTATCCAGTGCGTGTGAATGTCCAAGGCCGTGATTGGAATGTTCGGACCAGACACCCATGATGGGAACGCCTTGTTAGTTTTACTCCACATAGGCTGCGTGACGAACTCTAACATCGACGTCCGAAACATGGTAAATTCGAAGCATCGCACGTTGCCCATTCGCCGGATCACCGACGCGTACACCGGTTTGAGCGTCTAACCCCCTAGACTACCTGGTGTGCTGCAATTACACTGCCTATTCAACGGATCCCACAGATGTCCATCAGAAATACCGAATCAATAAGTAGCCTAAACCAATCACATGATGGCAGCTGAGGCACTAGTTGTAGGACACCGAAGCCGGAGGGCCGTGAAAACCACCTGGCAAGTGATCCATCCCTGAATCACAGCGCTAGCGGTTTCAGTCTGAATCGAGTGGTGCTAGTAGACAAATTGAAGGGGAAACCTATCGCACCGATCTTAAGTCGATCATGGCTACTACAGGAAGCCTTGACACACAACCGAGGCATTAGGCATCCGGCGTTTTATACTTTAAACTCCTAATATCTGGTTGTAATGTATATGTAATTCGTTTCGGCGCGCGTAGCACTTTCTGTTCCGTTGCCATGCCTCCCGGTATTTTGGCCTCTTTAATGGTGCCCAATTTTTGCGCCTCTCCGGTGGAATGTCCTGAGAGGAATCGTAATTGTAGGTTCGACTTACGAAAGTGATTTTCTTTCCCACAGAAATCGCGCATCTACTTCATTGTAGATCTAAACTAAACCCCAACAAGCACAGCGACACTCCTGCGTTCGATTTTCAATGCGTGCTCCTCGCTTGCGTTGAGAACTGCAAGTAGTTATACCGCATTTCTCGCGTGGCCAGTAGGGTGTACGAAGATTTGAACACCACTATCGTTCATTAACTATGTCTAAAATGTACACGGGGACTTTCCGTGCTTTGAGAAAGTTGCCAGCGTAGCCAGGTCACCGCACGTCTATTATTAACTACTTAAGACATTCGAGTAACTAAATGAACGAACGAAACTAACCAAACACGCCTGTGGGGCGTGTTGCCTCAAAGGCATGCGCTGCTTTCGAATTCAAGTGAAGTGACAAAGCAGACCACCGTAGTAACAGCGTGACTGAATTTTTCCTAATGCGGGTGACTAAATGTTGCACTTCTTGTAGACAGCGTTGAGATGCGAACACGTGAGGAACACCAGACTTCGAATTAGATGTGTTTGTCGTCATTTGTCTGCTATGAGGCTAAGTTTCCTGGTAGTGATCGTGTTGTACTTCGACGCCTTGGCATACAAGCGCGCAGAATTTCGTGTGGAACTAAATTTTCATCTACGGCGTCACCTGGTTTTGGTCGTGATAGCATTGCTACCCCTCAGTACACTGAACTCGAGGCAACTGTGGTTGGGGCTCGGAGGTTTGAGACTCGAACACGACATCGGCTGCTGCTATCTACGCTTGGGCAACCTGGGAGTATCTCAGCCCTCGTTTATCCTTTGGACCGCATTAAAGCTATGCACAGAATAATAGATAACCGTCCAGCCGTAAAACCCTTTCGGCCATGCCGCCCGAAGGAAGCATGGTAAGCTTCGAGTAAAAGACGAAAGATTGAATGCAATTTAGTGCTTTTCGTTCACATTGACATCGAAACTGTGTTGAACACAGTGATACAACAGACTAACTTGTTAAGGTCGATCCGATTTGTCTAGTGACTTGAGGCTGTAAAGGGATAAGGCTGTCTTACTACTTTTTTTCACATCAATAGAGTAGCTGTTCGCTAATTCGGTCTTGGATTCGTTGTTGAATCGTGTTGAAAAAGTTCGAACGTAAGGTAAACCGAAGGCTATCGTGCTGAGGCAGATCGGTGCGACACAGATACATGTGAGACTAGGTAACGCGCCAAACGGGTATTCAGGTAAAGGGGAGCATTGTTCCCAAATATATGCGCCATTGGGGGGATAAAAGTCAGTTGAGGAGCAACTGTGCGATCCTAGATGGGTCAGTATAAGTTTACCGGTTAGTTCGCAGATCTGGACAAGGACAGTCGAGTTAAAAAGATGAAGTGGGCCAACCAAACCAGAGCTACAGTACATCAAAGTGCAAAGGTTCTCACTCACGTTACTCTGGCTAAACAAAGGTAACCAATGCGATAACTGACGAATGAGGCAGATAGCTTTGGATACAATGGCGATGGCGTTGAGATGAAGAGGAGGGAATCCATTCAACTGGGCATTGTGGACTGCAGCGGACTCGAAGATGTGCGTATACTGAAGGCTACGTAAAACAGACCGTTCCGTTCTGAAGCAGTATTATGACCGTTTACCTGGGTTTTTTGGCAACACTATAATCTTGGGTACGCAGCCAAATCTTAGAACTGGAAAATTCAGAAGCAGATTTGCTTGTCCAGTCGGCGCTGCATGTATTAATCTCGATAAGTTGAGAAAAAAATTGGTGGAAACGGTCGAAATTCGTCAAAATTCAACCAAGGTTTCACAGTGTTTAGGACTCACTAGGTGGTTGCGGTTTGCAACGACTGAAATTCCTGAACTGCGCCTACCTGATGAGCCACGAACAATGCGCAATGGGTAGTGAGCCATCCGCAAAAAATGGTTAATCATGTCTTAGCGATTTCACGAACAGTGTATCGACATTTTGAACCTCAGTCCAACTTAAACCTATGAACGCTTTTGCGCCGCATACTTAGTTGAAGAGCATCATTGACAATGGGCATATTTAAAGATCGTTTGAGCCTCCCCTTCACACCAAACTGATATGCCCATAGGTCATTGCTGCAAAACCCGAGAGAATTCAGTGATAATTCTGTACGGACAGCTTCCGTGGATACTTCTGAAGTGCACTGAGAAAAGTAAATTTGTTTCATCCTGTTGCCATGACTGATGGAAACCCGAAAACTTAGAGATGTGTTCCGCCGAGTTTGCAGCGCGACCTGTGTTCCGGAAAGGTCTGTACATCAATGCTATGGCTGTTCATGGTGTTTTTTTACGAATTACGGAAAAACAATCAAATTTCACATAAGTTCGTCGTTTCCAAGCTATCATAACATTCAAACCTTTGCGAGTGATCTGATGAAGCCCTTTTCATCGCTTTGATGGAGAAGCGATCATCATCATCATCGACACGTGTGGTCGTACAATTTAATCCCAAATGAACGACTATCAGAAAAGTTGCATACTGTCAACCCTTTTGAGTCAAGCGGGAAGACCGATGCAGTTTGCCGAATGCCCCATTTGTGGGGTGTAGATGTCCGATATGTCGATGGGACTAGAAGAGGAATGTGACTCTGCTACAATATTTCCATGATAAATTAATGTGAAGAAAACCAACTTGAAGTGAACAAATTATCGGCAAAATTATTGGAGATAACTGTACAGAAAATCGCAGGATGTGCCACAAGAATGTTCAGTAATTCGTGTAACGGGAATATTGTGATTGCTGTTGTGCTGCCTGTTGCATACTCTGAGTCATATGAGAAGGGTGGAGTTGACTTGGATCAGCAATACGTGTGTAGGAACCCGCAGGTGGATGATGCATAAGCTGTATGGAGACCGGTTCACCAGATATTTGCTGATGTTGCATCTGGTGTTGATGAGGATGTGCAGCTTGGTGCATCATGCCTGTCGGATAACTCGAGTGCCTCATCATCGGCTGTCCTGCACCCATTCGTGGAAAAGACTGTTCATCGACCTGATTCTCCAAAACCACTACATAGTTGTCTTCCACGGGAGCACGATTAAACGAATGCTGCTGATTCGACTGCATTTGATGCGTGGAGGAAGCACCTACTTGTTGTGCGGATATAGGATATGGTGGAGGGTTTGGTACAATTTGCTGAGTTTGCTGTTGTAGTTGGTGAGTAACCTGAACACTTGGTTTGGCGTTACTTGGGTGCATACCCATCCCACCAGGTCGCTGAGAATTGAACTGGGTGACATAACGCGTCAAATTGTTTCCGGAACCGACTTGTCTGATTGGTTGCTCAATCAAGTGAGTAGGATTCATTGCAGTAGGTTGTTGGCTATAAGTACCGACAACCGTAACTTCACTACTTGGATAGGCATTAAGATTGTGAACAGATGAGGAGTAAGGAATACCTGCGCCAATGTCTGAAGACTGACCGTAGACTGAACCGCCGGGTAACATTTCCGAGTGTTCGGAAGATCGAATTGAAGATTGAGCGACTGTTGGATTCATGAATGAGGAGTAGTTTTGTTGCTGTTGCTGCTGTTGTAGAGCAGCTGCCGAGGCTCGTTGCTGTTGCATACGGTTTCGCATAAAGCCACGCAGACTATCCATGGAGGTGGAGCTACGCGAAGGCTGTGACTCAATGGTTGGCTTATCAAATGTCCCTGTTTTACCCAACCACGCCATTCCGGAAGGATCCTGTCCAGGGGGTACATCCATCATGCCAAGTTCAGACGTAGAGCCAGGATGACCATGCATAGGGTGGCCTGCAAGCGAGTTTGAGTTGGATACTTTATGCCCTAACGTGTTACCTGTCCTGGCGCTAGTTCCTGATGGGCCTTGGTTCATATTACGTTGACCCACTGTACCATACAGTCCGTGTTCATTGATACCCGCAGAAGAACTACCTCTACGGCCAGAACCCCTCTTCCGTTTTGTAGTGACAGCCGGGGCCATTGTAGCACCACTCCCTACAGGTGTAGAGTCGGTGGGCACAGAATCTGCACATAGTACGTGATCACCACCAAGTTTATTCGGAACGCCGCGGGGTCGATGATGACTGCCAGGCATGTCGGAGCCAGGAGTAAAGCCGTCGGAGAAGTTTTTGTCTGCGTTGGAAGTTCGGCGTTTCGGTTGAGTGTGGAAATTGTCCATTGAGAAACGTTCTGCATGTACCATGGAGTTGGGGAACTGAGAACTGGCGGCACCATGAGAATGTATCGCAGCATTAACAAACGGTGCTTCAGGCTGTCTTGATCGTTGCAAAACCGAACTTTGGTAGCTCTGCTGATAATCAGGCTGAAAGGATCGAGCGCCGTAAGCGGATGACGGAGGAAGCTGAGGGGTTGCAGCAACAGCTGGATCAAAGGTAAATTCAGACAAACCAACTGCGGGTTTGTTGCTGCTGTTTGTTGTAGGCGGCCTGCGTAGTTCCTCGTAGATTAAGGAATCAGTGCACGTTCTGTCAACACCACGCCCTGTTCCCCCCTTTGGCTCGTTAATGGTGCTTGGTGCACGTGGCTTCGTACCAGTGGCCCGCAAGTTGCCGTCACTGGATATAGGACCCAAATTGTAACTGGATGAAAGCGGATTAGATGATGACTTGGCAGAAACTGTACTGGGGGGCAACATGCCAGAGTCAGTTGTGTTTGCCTCCATTTTAAACGATTTACTAGGTGGTGGGCCAAGAGTCGGTTGTTCGGTAGCATCGCTCCTCTTGTCTTGAGCCTTTGCATCTTCCTCCTCCGGATAGACTGGAGTTAAATAAAATTCAGGTGGGCGCCTTAGTCGGATGAAGTGGTCGTGCCGAATCAATCGATTCGCCTGTTCTTCGGTACGTGATGGTATTGCTTCGATAGAGGTGGCACCATGCATTGACAAGAGGATGGCCTGCTTGCTTGGATCCTGTAGATCCCATGGTGCTAGACGCTCTTTACCAATTATCGTAAACCCACGCTTCTTCCCAGGGCGTCGGAATGCACTGTCCCTCGGGCCACCGTGGTGACCACTGCCACCGCCTTTACCCGCTCCCTTCGAAGTACTGACCTTCCCAATCCCACCGGACTTGTTTGCACCAGATCCCGAACCACCACCATCTGATGTTCCCGATGAGCCGGAAGCAGACAGACGTTGGGCGTTGTGGCCTGTGACAATCACAGTACATGCTGCCTTAAGTGGAGGTAAAAGAAGTCGAATCTGTTCGATTCCGTAACTTGGTCGTCTGGACAATTCACGGCGGATCTTCTTCGCAAGATTCTGATAATGCTTCCCCTCCACACCACTTCTGGCGGCCATTGTATGAACCAGACTCTGAAGCATATCATAGACCATGTAGAACAGAGTGGTATTCGACTCTGGTTCAATCACTCCGTGGCTGATAAGTTTTGTTAACAAAAGTGACCAATCTGTGGTCGGCTCATGCTCCTTCTGTAAAGCCTTGAAGCACTGCCCGACTAAAGTCAAGCGAAGACGGAGACATTCTTGCACTACCTGTCGAGTGCGTAAGTTATCCGGGACACGATCCTCAGTGTCATGTGCATTCTCCACGAAGTAGCCTACCTGTTCATATAGCTTGTCGACAGGGTCAATCTCCGCCATACAAACCTGCAGCAACCGAAAGAAAGCTGGGTGAGCAAGCACGATTGAGTGTTTCAAAAGTTCTCCTTCTTTATCCTCATCGTTCTTGTGCTTCCAAAAGTGTTTGATTCCTTGAAGGATCTGAGTACAGAAAGGAAGAAGGGTTGAGAAAGCATGGCTAGAAATAGAAAGCGCATATAAATATACCACGTCCATAGTGGATGGGATAGGTAAGTTCGCCTAACCCTCAGTACGCAGTATCGCAAGTTCGAGAAGCCTTAGTTCGTATTCACACGAATCGTTCGCTAAAACAAACCACGAAATATCATAATACAGGCACAGAAATCGCCTAGATAAGCCGAACTATGGTAAACGTCCACGCCTGGTAAGAACGCCTGCCAAAACAGTTCGTCGAATTAAAACGCTAGAAGGTCGGCAAACAAAAACAATGTGAAATCTTCATAAATTTAAAGGATTGACTTCATCAGTGCGAATTAAACTATCCCTTGCTGACATTCATCAGCAAGGAGTACCTCACGGATCTCAAGCCGAATTCTAATCCGCAAATCCTGGATAGCAGTCTGAATACTAGGTTTCGTCACGAAGAAACTAGACGTTACCGTTGTGTGACTAATTTGTGCACCTCCACACCCACATGTGACACAGATCCTTTCATATCAGACTGGTCAATCAATAAGGGTATGACTATCATGGTCTTGCGGTGCTCTAGGTTGCAGATTGGAAGAATGTGTAGCGACTTACACTTTGAAAATGTAGACTGCTCTGGCGAATTTACGCCAACCGCCAGTACCTTTCGGTTAGGGTTTTAAGCCAACAACTTTGGATTAGGACACTAATAGTCATCCTGTCTAGATTTTGGTGCACAGGCAATATTTCAGCATACGCTGAGCTATGAATTGCACAACTACAAAGCTACGCTACTACCACTGAAGAGAGTTTTCCGAGCGGAAACTTACAGCTGGACGGAATACACAGCACAGAATGAAGTATGCTACAAAAAGTTTGAACGCTGTTGGTGGTTTGTCTTCCGGGATGGGATCCATTTGGCTCTCCTTGTGCTTGGCTTGAGGTCTAAAACGTATATCACCTAACCGATGTCAGAGGTTTCATGTTGTAATGTTCGACCGAGGTATAATCTCCACGGATATTTGCAGTAGGTTAGTCATAATTTCCCGTGACTGTCCCATTTTTCTATTTTTCCATCACAGGGCTTTATTCAAATAAACGGACATGGTTGCACGACAGCGAAGCACCAGTGTTCTCCAAAAGTTACTGTTACGATGTTGTTCCAGTAGGTGATGGGTATGAATTACTTACGTTTGGTAAAATATAGTCACAAAATCCCTTAGCTCACATCACATGATCCGGTGTCAACCGGCCTCTCGAGAAGCCAAATGCTCCAGCAGTAAGTGGGGCACAGACGTCACAGACGTCAGTCAGTTGTGGAGTGTACAGTCTAGTGTTTCTTGTCCTGTGTTGGGTACGAAATAGCGGTGTTTGGTGGGAAATGCATTACCATGTTCCAACATGTTCGAACCCCCAACCTGGAAGACCAGGGAGACTGTGTTCGTCAGACCTCTAGCCGTTGGCCAACCTGGTATGAGACCTTGTGAGTGTCGCGGGGACACCCCCCAGTATAGCTTAATGGGTCGATGAAGTGTGCAAACCGTCACACCACGGTAAGATCCAGTCTCTTAATGACGGGCACGAAATTGCAATCAGATGGGGGTCATGAACTGACACTCAATAACATAAGACCACGCTGTACATCAAGACCAACGGCTGACGTAAGGAAAAAAGTACAGATGGAAAGGCATCATGATGGCTACGCTATGGTACGGGAGCCACGAAGTTGCCAGGAAGGAGACACAGTAACCTCTGTGAGAAAAATTTCCAAAAGATACTTTCTGTGGCAAGGCATTTTGTGTACTAAACGAAGCCACAAAAACCATATTCGGAACACAGGTTCCTGAAACTGCCATTTAAATTGCCAGGAGAGGAGACTGAAAAATCTCTTACAAATGACCAGTACTTAGCAGGTAACGACCACTCAATATGTCTGACTTCAAGTGCACTAGTATCACGCTACAGCGCAACTACGATGTGAATGATCAATATGGATGGAGTGAAGAGACAGGAAAACCTGATGATGTAGTGTACGACAATCTTGATCCTCTTCGGTTGTGTTTTTAAACTAGGCAAACAAAGTAGGGGAATTGATAAGGACTGAGTTGAAGCACTTAATTGCTAGCAGGACCATGATCAGCGTCAATATCGCGGCAATTAGGCACAAATGACAAGTGTAGCAGTGCTGCAACATAACGATGAGGAGTGATTTTCTATATCAGTCTACCGGGTGATCCTGAGGGATTCCTAATCGAAATTGAGTTACTGGGGGCATGGAGCGGAGGTAATGGAATTTGATAATCTATATATGACAGTGAGTTTACAACAACCGCCGAGTAGTGTCTGTGTTACTTTAGTCAGTGGCTTAACTGCTCAGTTTTAGACAATGCTACATTCACTTACATTCGCTTGAATAGTCCTCCTCTGGTGGTGCAATTATTCTGGCTGGTCTACATCAACGGGGAAAGCACACCAAGAAGTTGTAGAAAGGTGGGGATGGAGTTTGACGTGTTCACGGTTTACGCTGAGGGTTCCAGTAAGTATGTAGAAACGAAGTGCTGTATAAGCACAGCTTGCGTTAAAGCCTTGAGTTGTGTTTGCGTCGATTAACGCGCATCAAACCTTTTAGGATTTTAACTTTTGTAAGAGCGATTTCGACGAAGACCATAAGGCTGAAATATCATGGTAAGGACGGAATTTGTGGAATTTCGTTGAATTGTGATTTGCATCTACGAGCTTAGTAGCGCTTAGTTAAGTCAAACGGGGTGGATCGAAAAAGACCGGTCCACACGGCAAGTGAACCTTTCATATGAGAAGTCATCACTCAAGGAACCAGTCAATATGTGACCGTGTGATGTGAACTCTGTGGTTGAAGGATAAGTGGCCCCATATCCTGTCTAATTGTAAGCTAATCACACCATGGAGATTCACACGCGCTTTCTCCGCTTCAACAAACACTGAAATCCACTTTCAGGATGAAATCTCTATTAAACCGATTGTGTTAGAAGTTACCAGACAGACAGCTCAAGAGACAGGTTACGGTGAGATTCTAAAAGATACCAACTCACCTCCAAGGCCCCTGTTACGATCTGCGCCTTCAGTTGTCTTGGTAGTTTGGCAATTAACGCTGGCACAAGCCAAACTGGGTCGTTTTCCTCCAGTTCGAAACGTGAAATACCACCGATTGGAGCCAAACACACATCTGCGGACATCCCGGAACCATTGGCCTTGAGCCAGTTGAGTGCTTGCGTTTGAAACCCACGTACGATCGCCTGTCCAACCGAATCAAGCACATCTTTCTGCTGGGAGAGGCGAATTTGTGTGTAAAGCAGCTGGAATTTTACTAGAGCGCACCGCAGAGTCCATAGATCTAGACTACTCAACACTTGACACATTGCGGTAGCAAGCGACGAGGTATCAGACCATGTGAGATCGAACGGATGGAAAATCACGTGCAATAGACGCCGCGCTTGCGTCGGAGAAAATTTTCTGTCAATTAAGACATTTTCACGTGTCCACCGATCCGAAGGCATTCGGAAGAATCGTTCACGAACCCAAGGTACCGAACAGATTTCACGCAAAACCAGCTGTATCAAACCAATCAGAGGAAGATTGCGAAGCTCAATCACGGTAGGCAGGATTCCAGATTCCAGGAAGCGTCGAACAATCGGATGGATTGCTTTACCCCCAGTGAATCTACGGTGTGAATGCTCTTCATCATGAGCTTCGTCGTCCGCTTGTCCCACATCACTGTCGCTGCCTTCGGTTGCATCATCACCCATGTGCATCCCACTCTGAACTAGGTCTTCCGAACAAGCTTTGTCGTTGTGAACCATGAGCATCTTAAGGACATCCACTAAGAGTTCAGGAGTCACCTTTTGTAACGCCCCGGTGAGTAGCAACGGTTCAGAAATCCGGAAGGGGGGAGTGCTCAAATCGGTAGCAGAAGTGCTGGTTGTATTTGCTGTAGCTATTGCGCTGGCAGACGGCTCATGTCCTGGAGTAAGTGCACTCATGTTGGCTTGAATTGTACTCGCTGAGGATTCTGCTGTGAAAAGCCTGTGAAGAATGTGGCATGCCAAACGAATGCTGGGTTCTAACTGCGGTCCTACAGGTTGCACTAAACCCTGAGCCATTGCAGGACATATGACTCGACATAAGAAGTCCGAAATAGTCATACAACGTCGAAACAATAATGTGCCAATGAGGGAACTCACGCTGTCGTACATGTTCATATCGCCTGGCTCCACGTCGCTCACAATCGGTCCATAGCCATGTCGGTAGGGTCGTGGTGCAATTACTGCATACAAAGCCCCGAGCCATTCGGGAGTTAAATCTCCACAATGTGAAGTCAACTCAGCACAGCCATGTCGTAGGGTCGTGGTGCAATTACTGCATACAAAGCCCCGAGCCATTCGGGAGTTAAATCTCCACAATGTGAAGTCAACTCAGCACACAAGCCACATAAATAGTTAACACGTTCCAGAGTTGTCGCTTGGCAAACAAAAATAATGGCTCTACACACAAAACTGAAACGTGAATTTGGATTATTTCGCAAGTCATCCGCATAGGCACGAAACAATGACGGATAATCAGAACCAGCGGCTTTGAGCAAGTCTGAAGCATAGTCCTGATCAAATGTTGCCAGACCTTCACTTGGTTCAACCGAACGAAACAGGGCGGCAACCTTTGGATGCGCCTTATTGTAAATTGAGGCGAAATGAGATTTAATCTGCGCGTTCGACGTGAACAAGTCATTTAAATAAGCAAGCACACAACGCTCAAACGGACCACATTGAGTGGGTTCTCGGACTTGGCGAACTTGGGCAATCAGAGCGGGGAAAAGACGATTCGGCAAGTCGCTCATAGTGAACAAAACCGGTTGATGACGTTGTAGTATTCCTATGGACCGAAGGCAAACTGAAGACATGTACAAAGTCATGAATGGAGTTCGTGACTCGAACAATGTTTGCAAACGTTCAAGCGTGTCCACAATGGTTGCAATCAAACTGGTGATGTTCAGTGAGGTTTCAATTAATTCGAAGAAAAGAAAAATGGAATTGGGTACGGGCATGTAGATGGTGCTCTGGCTTGTAAGATTAGCCACGATACCCGCATTGTTTGGAGGCGAAGGAGGATTGGCCATACCCAAAGTGGAACTGGAATGGTAATCATCACCGATCACAGTTGGATTACCTTGTCCGTTACAACCACTAAGGACTTTAGTGAATGTCGGCGTACACTGAGAAATGACGCATTCCATATCATGGTATGACAGGCAGATGAATCGAGACATGATGTCTTCATGAAGTTTGTCTATCAAATGGGCATCATCTGATACACCGCCACTTCCCCCACCCGTCGCACTTACTGCCACCACTCGATGTCCACTAGAGGACGGCATATTCGCAACAGGGGCTGTGGATACCTCACGTTCTCTGTCCTTGGACTTTTTTCGCTTACACATTTCGCCATGCACCACATCAATCAAATAGAATTTACGGGTGAAGATTTTCACTATGTCTCTAACTAACTGACGAATACGACTGCGAGCACGATCACGGGCTCGAAGGGAGCCATACAACAACTGATACCGCTGATTCTCCTCGTGTGAGTAGCTTTCATCTTGAGGAAGGGGGAAGTGCGTCAAATAATGAAAATGCGGAGAACATCGCGCAGGCCCTGTAAGGGATTCTGAAGCAGGATGATGCGGCGCCGACGTTGCGTAACCACAGCAAGACGTAGTGACCGATGGAAATCCAACTTCAGAACGGACCGAATCCGGATTATCTACACTGCACCGATCATTATCCTCCGACATTTCCGAGGCCACTGAACACTGTGTGGTTACGTTGTTAGGGAGATTGCTTAGCAAGGTGGTATTGGAGACGGCCTGAAATTTCCCGTGGGTGCTTGTGCTGAATGTCAGGGTGGCAGTATGACTTTCTGTCACTGCTGAAGCAGCCAAAGGATGGCATTCCACAGCGAATACTCCTCGAGCTATCATACGTCGAACGTAAATATCATGGTCGAACACTTCGCGATCTATCAGCTCTGCGAAGAGGCACACCAAATTGCGCATTGGTTCGTTATCTACCAGTGCTCGGTCGGTACTATATGGCGGTAGGCTGGAGCTGAAGGTGTCCAAAAAGTCAAGTAACGTTTGCTGAAGCATCTGGAATGGATTGGGGTCGGATTCGAATGAATGGGTGAGTTGTTCCAGAAGACAAGCAACGATCACTGAACGGTAGATACCAACGCGATGTACGGAAACGGCCCATTCACATAAAGTAGTTACCAAAATTGCAGTATCCACATTGATAGCATCGTCATTGAATATACGATTGAACAGTGCTTCCATCGGGTTGTGTTCCTTCACACTATGATAGTCTTGGCGGTCTAGAATGTCCAAAACCTTGATCAAACGTTCCATCTAAACAAAAATATTAGGCAGGAAAGATGAGTGAGGTAAACAAAATAAACTCTGACCATAACAGAAAAGCATGTAAATCACAGGCGGTTTATGGTGTCGCAACCAAAAAGCTCCCAATTAAAGAGGCATCGATCTCCAAAAGTAATAAAATGAAAAAACAGCTTTCGAGCAACCTATTGAAGAAAAATTATGACCATTTGAACTGATTCAATCAATTCGGAAAGCGGCGGCTATTTCTGAGACAATTAGCATACTCTAATCCGTATTATTCAAATGAATGAAGGGGATATAACGTTTAAAACTGTATATATCTATCAGACTTCTTTGGTCCCGGCTTATGTTAGCAACCTAATAACAAGCGTTCGCATGGCGGCCTTGCAAGTTACGTGATTCTGTAGATAGTATATTGATTCACCAGTAATGCTTGCCGTGGAAAACAGATGGGCTTGGATGCCAGCATGTCACTAGAACCAGATTAGGCTTAAGGACTCAAACCACAGATAATGAATGAGTTGCTTTCAAGCAGGTTTATGCATCAGGATAGGGTAGTAAAGGGCTTATATGTCTTCAATTTATGTTACCAGTTGCTAGTAAAATGACTGGTTTCGCCAATCGACAGGGTCCTACGGGTTCTGACGACTTTCCGTCTTTGTTTACGGTAAGACTCCTGAACAAGTTAGGAGTTTAGAATATGGCATATCGAAGCATTTAGCCTTAAGAACAAACATACAGAAGTTGTGGGATATATATAGTCCAAAAGTCCGATCTGAAGATGCACTATACAGACTTTGCATCTAACAAGCTGAAACCTCATCACAAGATTGAAAAAGGTATGAAATCATATCATTTGTGACTAGTAGTGAACATTTGTGATTAAATTGCTGAAATGCTTTTTCAATTTTCACGCGTTGAAAAAGTAGGAATGTCAAGAAGTCTAGAAATAATACCACGTCGTATCGGGATGTGTCAACGAAATGTTTAACCTGGTGAGTGGGATTAAAAGCATAAAATTTCGGTTGCGTGGCGAGACACTTAGTTTCTTGCGAGGGTAACCAGTATTTACATAGGGGCATCGCATGGGTGACACCTGAAGAACTTATCACAGAAAACGGATAGATGTGACCAGATCGCGCATCGGTCAATAACAGGCGTAGAGGTCGAATTCTCAAGAACTGAGTCTACAGAAGTTATATAGAATATTATGTGGCGGTAGACCTTGTAAATGTACCCTTGCTACGCGAAGAAAATATCCATTGCGACGCTGTCACTTGTTCGCTACCAGGCTAGTGAACGACATCCATAGCTTCTGCAACTTCTTGGTACCTCTGAGCCGAATCCACGGCTGGAACACAGCCCTGCATATCAGCGCCTCGTTGTTTCTGTCCGTAATTTAATGAAGAGAAAAACTGGTGAAAATGTGGATGCTTCAACGACATATCCCGGGTAAAACGGCTAGGAAGAAAAGAAAAGAAAGCGTTCAGCTGTAGCACCCTTCCGGCGCCTAGCTACCATGCCACCCGAAGGAAGCACGAGGGCTGGAATACTGCCAGGTTGCCCAAGCCTAGACAGGGGAAGTCGAGTGGCGGAGGTCTGATTCGAACCACGGACCTTCCGGTCAGTAAATTCGCGCTCTAATCACTTGGACCATCTCGCTAGGAAGCATAAAAATGAATGTGAATGTATCACATGACAAAAAAACAAACCCATGTGCGCCATGTGATATGAGTTTCATTGTCCAGCCTAGGTGACGAGTGAATCCTACCGCACATTACCGTCTAGAGGACCGTCTTTAATTGCTGATTCTTCAGAATCATTTGTTCTGCTTGTCTGAATTAAATCCGTAAACATTTATGCAGCACTGTTAGACCACCAGCCATAGTTGCTTCGATGCCTTAGAGGATAACGAAATATTCAGATAGATGACCTTGATGAACTCCATCACTACCTTGCCGGTATAGCAAACACGGCGAATAGAACTTCGCTAATATTGATGCACTGACAAACAGAATAGGAATTGTCAATCGAGATCTCCGCTGATAGGATAATGATTCGAACAGTCAAAACCGATAAATTCGACGGCGTACCTATTACAAACAGGTGGAAGAATAGGCCAAATTAAAAGTAGGCCTTTCTGAAAGCGAACACCAAGAAGTACGTTCTGCTCCCTGATAGATAGAGGCAAAAACAAGAATATCCAATTCGTCAACTAACACTAGTTGAAAACTGGTCTCGCTCTCGCACTCCATAGAATGAACTGTAGATTCGAGGAGAGGTTGACTTCGGAGTCAAACTTGTTATAAGGGCACTTGCACCAAGAGACAAAACTATTACGACCGTGTTGGAAGGTAAAAAAAAGCACCTGGATTCACCTCTGCTTCAGTGCGCGAAACCCTCAGAACAAAGCAACCTTATATAACCGGAAGGCTTTCTGGGCAAATTATTACTCACCTCTTCACCACTGACATCGGTAAAAGCCTGGCGATTCCAGCCAACTTCAGCTAATTGGCTTCGAGTGATTATCACATTTTCCACGTCGAAAAGACACTGTCGGATCTCGGTAGTTTCGGGTCCCCGAGGCATCGGTAGGGCAGCAGTTGAATAAGGAATAACGTCAAGTGGTGAACCTTCCAAGTATGAATGATCTGTTCCCGTTGGAATAGAATTCCAAACTGCTGCCGATGGGCAGCTGAGGATAAGACAGGTGATCATACTGCTTAAGGATAAAACGACACTCCGATGTAATGGGCAGGAACAAGTTTCTAAATACTCTTCCAAGATTAACTGCATTTCAGGGTTATTTGGATGGTTGCCAGCCTGGTTGTCCGCAGCTGGCACTCGCGATTCACTGAGCACGATACTCCTAAACGTGCCACAACACCAGAACAACAAACGACGAGCAATAAGTTCATTTTCCGTGAAACGACGACCGAATTTCAGTAAATAAAAGAGGAAGAATTTAACATTGTTGAGAACATTAGTCTCCTCTATTGTTTCTGTCGGTAGCGGTTCATCACTATTGTTATCGTAGTTGGAATACTGTTGTTGAGTCGGGGCCGCCTCATCCTCTGACGGTTGTTTCCAGAGACTTTCGGCTCGCTTCGTTAGCCATAAGAGGACCTCCCAATGATCAGCAACGTCTGAATCATACAGTGCCAGTAGAAGAGTGAATAAATAGTCCCAGTCTTCTTCCACACTAGGCTGTTCACCTGACTCCGAACATAGCTGCACCAAATTTCGCTCAAGCATTTGGCAGATATTACTGGTCCATTCGCTAGGGTGGACCGTAGGTCTTTGCTTCCGCTTGGCATTTTCTGGTTGAGCCGGAGTGTGCAGCAGAATTAAGTTGATCAGCCACACAGCACGTGAAATTGGCACTTTGTGCGCAACCAGCTCACTGAGAATTTCCTGTTTGTCTTTGGAGTACGGCACTCTCCGTCCAAGGATCTGCAACGGTGTGGAACCAGCGAGTTCCCTGAACCATGCATTTGCTTGATTCTTATCAACGACGGGAACAATTGTTTCTCTGACATTGGACGCTGACTTTTTCTTGAGGTCTTGATAAGTTGAACAATCGTACTTTTTGGCGAGGACATCGTGATAGAATTTCCACAGTGAATCATTGACAGTAAGAAATTTGCTCTCTTTTCTGCACGAGTCATATTCATCCCGCACTGGCTTGATGTATTTGTAACCATCCCTCACAAAATCCTCGGACATCAGATCCTCCTTTTGTTCGTCCCGCTGGTTATATACATCTGGAGGGCAGTCGGATTTCTTCTTCAGCGATCTATTCTCCAGCGACGGAAAAGCACTCATCTCGCGGTAAATGGGCCTGGGGGAAGAATTAAGATATCTGAAAAATCAAATAAAAATTTTCCTTAAAAGATTAAAAGGGATGATAAAATACGAGACCGAAAATTGGGAACCACATAGTTTTACTTGGCTTTACGGACTGGCAACTCAAGCAGATCCTCTCACACATGAAAGGGGGGAGAAGGCAGCCTTGTCTTACACGATTGAACTTAGTGAACTCAGGCGATAGTCGGGCGTATACTCGTATGCGCCCACAGAAGTCCGTATACAGTGCCCTCATAATGGGTATAATTTGGGGGGGGGGACACCAAACATCGCCAAACATCGACAGAATCAAAATCGACTTTCAACTCAACAAAAACGAAAACTGTGGGACGCACTGTTCAAGGTATAGATATGGTCAATGCATCCTTGACCAGAGCGAAACCCAGCTTGATTCTCACGAATATGTCTCTCCCGATAATCCATCAACCTGTGTCATGATCGACAGAATCAAAATCGACTTTCAACTCAACAAAAACGAAAACTGTGGGACGCACTGTTCAAGGTATAGATATGGTCAATGCATCCTTGACCAGAGCGAAACCCAGCTTGATTCTCACGAATATGTCTCTCCCGATAATCCATCAACCTGTGTCATGGGCTTGAGCGTGCGAACCGACCGTGAAGTATGATGGACACAGAAAGCCAAAGAAATGGAACAGACCCAAAAAGCCGATAATGTCCGAAGATTATTTCAGTTGATCCGTGCGACCGGTCCCCTGAAACTATCTGCGAGCGAAACCATCAAGCGCCAGAATGGAACGACTCGAATAAAGAATGCTTCGACCAGTGGGCTGAATACTTCGAACAACAACTGTCGTGGCCACCATATGGTACCCATCTAGAGCCCACAGGTGAAAGAGAGCCCTGGACAGTGAACGTGGAGCCACCTACGGCTCTGGAGGTTTACGACCACACATGTTCTCTCAAGCGTCATCGAGGTTCTGGTCCAGATGACCTCCCACTCACATTGTTCAAAGACGGGAAAGAAGTCCTCAGTCAACGCTTGTCTGATATGTCTGCTTGCATTTGAGAAAAAGAGTCTGTCCCAGACAACTGGGGAGAGTCGGTGTTAGTGCCCACTTTCAAAAACGGGTTCGTATTGACTGTGGTAACCACAGGGGTATCAGCTTAACCCCGGTCGTAACGAGACTGTTGATGTCAACTGTGCTTCGTCGCCTTATGGTAGCTCGTGAGACACTGACTCGAGAGCAGCAAGCGGGATTCCGGCCTGGTAGGGGTTGCGTTGACCAAATCTTCACAGTTCGTCAGGTGCTAGAACAATGCCATACGAGACCCACAATTCTAGTAATCTTGAATTTCCAAGGGGCATTCGACTCAGTTGACCGGTCAGTTCTTCTTGACATGCTTACCCGCGGAAGTTTGTAAACATAATACATTCCTTGTATTCTCAGACTTACGGATGTATGAGAGTAGACGGAGAGCCTTCTAGAAGCTTCCGCACACAAAGCGGTATCCGTCAGGGATGCCAACTCTCTCCATTCTTCTTTAACATCGTGATCGATGAAATCATGAGATGAACGTTGGAGAGTCTCCAAAACCCTGGAGTTCAAATAGCTTGTGAAGAAGACCTAATCGATCTGGAGTACGCAGACGACATCGTTCCCATGTTCGAAGAGGAGGAAAAGGCGCAAGTGTTTTTGGATGAACTGACCAAAACCACCTTTGGTATGCACTTAGCACCTACAAAGTGCAAGGTCATGCCCGTGTACGAGCAGTCACTGAACACGCCACTTACAATCCAGGGAGAGGTACTGAAAGTTGTGGAGCGTTTTACGTATCTTGGAAGTTGTATTAATTCTGATTGTGGTGTGAGAGATGAGGTGAATGCATGAATCTGCAAGGCCCAGGCTGGGTTGGTGTCGGCGAATCCGTAGTGAGGTTGTGCAACGGGTACTTCCATTAAAGAATGTGTCCAGCACCAGAAGCTGCGTTGATTAAGACATGTGTTGCGTATGCCGAACCATCGTTTGCCGAAGAGAGTGCTGTTTTCTATGCCCGACTCAGAGTGGCGTAAGCAGGGATGGGCAACCCTTGGCGGAGGAGTATGAAGGAGATTACGGAACGCTTGGATGCCGTTGGTGCTACTCGCCCTCCAGGATGGGGACCACGTGATCCCCACTGCGCCTTGTTAGAGACACTACAAGATATGGCTTCTAACCGATGTCAGTGGCGTTCTTGTTGTCAGTTTCTATCCAGATTGCCTGAGTGAATGTCTGGAGGTGTGGGCACCTCGGAATGATTGTAGTAACCTGGCAATAAGTCGCTCCCCCGTCCACCTTTGTTTTTTCTTTACAATATGGCTCTCGAATAAGTCATGGTTGTACGGCAGTGAAGCCTCCGTGTTGAACACCGATGTCATGCTGTTGCTGCTGCTGCTGCCGCTGCTGCTGCTGCTGATGATGATGATGATGACCATCAGCCTGCGCAGAATATTGCAAGAAAGCACCTTAGATGCGACAGACATCAGGGTGATATCACGAAGGTTTTCACATGACGTTCTTGCGCCCTTTTCGAAAACTGGAAAAACGGTCGAGGAGCTCCATTCGGCTGGTATTCAGTTTTTGTTCCAAATCTTCTGCAGTACGGTCGTTAAACTGTTCACCAGGACCTCGCCATCTTTGAAGAGCGCGGGGTGCGGACCATCCGGACCAGGTACCTTTTGCGCTTCAGAATTGATATCGCACGCTGGATTTTGGTTGTTGAGTTAGACGGCCAGGACAAACAGTTCTGAAAGCCGAGAGCGGGGCGAGATGGCCCAAGTGGTTAGGGCGCGAATTTACTGACCGAGAGGTCCGTGGTTCGAATCCGACCTCCGCCACTCGACTTCCCCTGTCTAGGCTTGGGCAACTGTTATATATTCGCTCTGTTTTTCAAACGTTTCATCATTTGTTGCCAAATCACTTTCTTCCATTTCCAGCTCTCAGTGTCAAAGTTTTGGATGAATAAAGCCTAGCTTTCGGGCCCTCAGTCTTTTCCATTGTCATTCTGATTGTCGTTGCACTCCGACCCTCGTCGTACACAGCAATTTATTCATCCAAAAGTTTTCGAACAATGGATCGATTCTTACGTCCTGAACGATTCGCTACCGACCCCAATACTCAAGACTCGGCAGATACCTGAGAGCATTGGTTTTGTACTTTCACAAACTTCCTAGGGTCAATCGGTTCCCATTCACCAGATAAACTTGTTCAATTACGTCTCCCCTAGTGTTTACCGATTCATCAAAGACTGCAAAGACTATGAATCAGCCATCGAAACCTTGCGAGAAATTTACGTACGGCCGAAAAATGAAGTTTTTGCACGGCATCTTTTGAACACTCGTAAACAGGATGGAGCTCAGAACCTTGATCAGTTTGTGCAGAAGCTTCGCAGTTTATTGCCAGACTGCCGCTTTACAGCCGTCAGTGCAGAACAGCATACCGATGAAGCGTTACGAGACGCATTTATTAGTGGACTTTATTCCAATACTATACGCCAGAGACTGCTGGAACATAAGTCGCTGGATTTTAAAACCGCATACGACCATGCAAAATCCCTCGAACTAGCACAAAAACAGTCGTTGTCGTTTTTGCTGAAGACTCAACTCCCCTGTGCCACCGTATCGAACGACCCACCAGTCTCCACGTTCTCAAACGTCATCGCACGAGCAGGCGACTGCTGCCAGTGTGGGTTCTTCATGCGACCTGCAAAAACTGTGGGAAGAAAGGGCATTTTCAAAAGGTTTGCAGATCTACTGGTCCGCGGAACACATCTGTTTCAAGCGCGCTATCTTGCGTCACTGCAGCGGCTCCCGAGTGTCTAAAAGAAGCAGTCACCGATATGAAAGCCAATGGTGTCCCGCTTCGACCTCTTGTTGATACTGGTAGCTCAGAAAGTTTCGTTTCCGAAAAGGTAGTCCGTCGTAACAAGTAGTCTGTACTACCATCGTCATCTGAGATAACTTTGGCATCTATCCAGCACAAAAGCTTTACTCTTGGACATTGCTTTTTAACGTTGCAACACAAACAAAACAAGTATCCCTCTTTCAAGTTTTCAGTATTACGTGACCTCTGTGCAGATATTTTGCTAGGACATGACTTTCTTAAGCTTCATAAGTCCCTGGAAATCTCATTCAACGGTGACAAACCTTCTTTTTCCCTTTGTGGTCTAATTGCTGCCAAAATTGAACCTCCCACTTTGTTCGAGCATATTGACCCAAGGTGTAAGCCAATCGCCATAAAGTCCAGGCGACATTCTGCAGACGACGAGGCCTTCATTGCTTCTGAAGTAAAGCGTTTACTTGACCAACACATCATTGAACCCTCGAAGTCCCCATGGAGAGCGCAAGTGCTCGTCACGACAAATGAACGACAGAAGAAGCGAATGGTGGTTGACTATAGTCAAACTATAAACCGATTTACGCAACTAGACGCTTATCCGCTCCCCAGACTTGAAGATTTAAGTACTAAAATAGCTCAATATCGTATTTTCAGCACGCTTGATCTTGAAAGTGCGTATTATCAGATACCCATTAAAGAAAGCGACAGAATCTACACGGCTTTTGAGGCTTGCAACAACCTCTATCAGTTCCGTCGAATACCTTTCGGAGTAACGAATGGGGTAGCCTGTTTTCAAAGGGTAATGGATGACATAATACGCGCCGAACAACTTACCGGGACATATGCGTATGTGGATAATGTTACCATTTGTGGAAAGAATCAAGAAGAACATGATCGAAACCTCCAGCTTTTCCTCACCGTAGCACAAAAGTACGGCCTTCAGTTAAATCACGATAAAAGCACGATTTCCACCACTAAGCTCAGACTCCTCGGCTATGAAATTACTGAAGGTGTCATCAAACCAGACCCTGAACGCTTCAAGGTATTGCAAGAACTGCCCGTTCCGAACGACATCAAGTCTCAACAACGAGTGGTAGGATTGTTCGCGTACTATTCTCGTTGGATAAGCCGTTTCTCGGATAAGATCTACCCAATCACTCACAATACAACCTTTCCTGTCCCTGAATCTGTTATAAAAGCATTTGAAAGTTTGAAAAAGGAGTTGATGGATGCAGCCTTGGTCACTATCGACCCGAGAATACCTTTGGTGCTCGAAACTGATGCATCTGATGTCGCGATTTCTGCTACACTCAATCAAGATGGCAGACCGGTCGCATTCTTCTCACGTACACTGTCTGCCAGCGAAAAACACCATTCCGCTATTGAGAAAGAAGCTTGCGCAATTGTCGAAGCAGTGCGCAAATGGAGGCATTACCTACTCGGGACCCATTTTAAAATCATAACTGATCAGCGATCCGTTGCATTCATGTACTCAACACAACAAAAAGGGAAAATAAAAAATGACAAAATCCAACGGTGGCGGATGGAGTTGTCGCCTTTTTCTTTTGACGTTACCTACAGACCAGGCATAGAAAACAAAGCTGCTGACACGCTTTCTCGAAGTGTCTGTGCGAACACTTCATCTAACCTGGATCTAAAACGCTTACACACAACCCTGTGTCATCCTGGAGCAACACGCATGATGCATTTCGTTCGTGCCAAGAATCTACCATTCTCCCTAGAGGATATCCGACTCGTCATTAAGCAGTGTCAAGTGTGTGCGGAACTAAAACCACGTTTCTTCAAGTCATCTGGCGGTACCCTCATTAAAGCCACACAAACGTTTGAACGCTTAAGCATTGACTTTAAGGGACCACTGCCTTCGACGACTCGAAACAAATATCTACTGACGATCGTAGACGAATATTCCCGTTTTCCGTTCGCCTATGCATGTCCAGATATCAGTTCGTCTACGGTGATATCGTGCCTTGTGCCACTGTTCGCCACATTTGGCCTGCCAAGTTTCGTGCATTCGGATCGTGGCTCATCATTCATTTCGGATGAGATCAAACGATTTCTTCATGAAAAAGGTGTAGCCACCAGTCGGACCACTCCATATAATCCAAGGGGGAACGGCCAGGTGGAAAGATTGAATGGAACTTTGTGGAAGGCTATTACGCTTTCATTACGATCAAAGGGTCTTCAAATCAGTCACTGGGAAACCGTTTTACAAGACGCTCTCCACTCGATTCGTTCTTTGTTGTGCACGGCCACCAATGCCGCTCCACACGGGCGGATGTTTCATCACAATTGAAAATCCGCAGTCGGTACGTCCTTGCAACAGTGGTTGCTTTCGCCAGAACCAGTTCTGATGCGGCGAAACACACGATCTTCAAAGTACGACCCCCTAGTCGAAGAGGTTGAGCTCCTGGAATGTAACCCTGAGTACGCATATGTCAGACACTCTAACGGCATGGACGAAACGGTCTCCCTACGTCACCTGTCCCCTTCAGCAGATTTCGGATGTGCTCCAGCATCCGAACAGCAGCAA